GGGGGGGGATACAAAAATAGAAGAGATGCATATTCATTTTTTTACCTGAATGAAGATTTGAAGTCATCTAGCATGAAATATTATTTTCCTTGATTGGTTAGTATGATTTTCAAAGTAACTTGTAATATCTGAAGTTTGGACTTGTGAGTGGATAATGATTTGAAATTTGATTTCTAAAAGTAATGAATATACTATTTTAAATAATGATTTTAAATGGTAGCTTTTTCTATAAAGTGTATATCCTTGACAGTTTAGTTATATACAAACCTTTCCTTGTAGGCAGAGACAATCTTATCCATTACCCATGGCAGATCTCAGCCTCTCTATGAAGACTTGAGTGACCTCATACACCGATGTACTGAGGAAATGAGGGTCAAGATGCAGTTTTCTATACAAGATTAGAACTTATGACTATAGAATTGTTGTATGTGGGAATATTGTTCAAAATTTTCGGACAATTTCATCAAAATAACACTTGCATGTTCACAACAAGCTTGAAAACACAAAAGCAATTATACTTAATGAAGAAAACAAAACTTTACCTGCATTTTTGTTATGGTTTTTTTCAAATAAGGGACCTCAAATTTGTATACGTTTTAAATTGTTATAAATTAAGTGTGAATCAAGCAAACAACACCATATATCTCACCTGGCCAAAAGGAGACAATGTCATCGACTTTTTGCCTTGTTATAGCATCCGTTGTCAGCTAAGCCCCACTCCTCCTGAACAGTTTATCATATTTCAACCAACATTTGGTTTGAATAATTTTTTAAGACTACTCCTTCAGTGCAGTTGAAAGAATTTTTACAATATTTGATTTAGAGCATCACTAGGCCAAGGTTTGCTTTGGTTTAACGTCCTATTAATAATTTAGATCATTTAAGGATTTGCCTCCATGTGTGTATTGTATGCGTGTATGTGCAAGGTTGCCTTCTTACGATTAGCGCGGATCTGATGCCAACTAAGAGGGCCACCTCACTGAAATACCATGCCGAAGGCACACAGTATTCCATCCCGGTCACATAATACTGACCATGGGTTAACCAGTTGTTGTGTTGCCCAATATACCTTAATTTAAGTAATATAGGGAAAAACAACCGCTATTTTTATGGAATTTGGCTCGTTCCAGCCTTGGGAAAGAACCCATTGCCTGCCGCACCTGGGCAAACAAACAACACTAAGGCTAAACGTGAGATATTGCCAAGCAATGTGCTAGAAAACAAAACCCCCAATAAATATATGAAAATCTTTAAAAGGCTACGCCTTAAGTAATACTGGTATATAGATTTTCTCAAAATGCTGTCTAGCAACAACCGGGGCTAGAAAGGCGGGGCTACAATACAGGAGTTGTATATGTACTGTATTTAACCAGCGACATTCTCGCTATATAACTTTATATACTTACACTGGGCATGACATCCATGCTACAAGGATTGACTCCGAGGTCTCGTCCTTTTTTGTGGGAAGTTGGTCCCTGTGTCATGTTAAACTCACTTGAAGTACGAAGGAGGCACTTATTAAATCTTGAGCAAATCGACGAAGAATGACAAGCTTACTAAATCCCAATTTAACAATAAATGGTGGTAATTAAGGCCAAACAATTGAAAATCCATTTTTCAAAGTGTTCCAACATATATCTAGAAATGAAACTCTTTATAACGTTACAGATTTTCGACTTTTTGATGCAACAGGTAATAGATTTTACGTATGTAAACTGTGTCTTGGAACGGATTTATTCCGTCCCTAAAACTATTAAATGTGTACTGGCCTCCTGACCCAGTCTCTTCGTTCGGGAGTAAACCACAGGGCCATTCTATCATTATTGTTAACACGATGTAGGTATCATTCGGTAAATAAAAACAGCATATCTAACTCTATCTTATGCAGGTCATCTCTGGTAGCGATTAACTGTTGTTGCCGCCAAGAATGGCAGTGAAATCACATATTCACATGACATTTGTTATATTGAGTAACAAATCCCCATGAAATATTGAACCTCCCACGTCTGTTTAACATCATACTTGACCTCTATTTGTTGGCATATTGCTACATTACGTCCACAGATGTCTGCAAAATAATTGTACCACAAATGACATCATACAGCGCTAGTAGTGGTGGAATAGTCTGAACATATCCGGGTTTACATGGACCCCGGCTATTAGTTTAGAGACTGATATATGAAACAAGTCCGTAAAGAGAGTGTTATGATGAAGTTTGGTCTTTTTCAAAAGATCCTGATCACAGGACAACATTAAAACCAGGTAAAGAGGTATACAGTGTTTCAATTGCAATTTGTACAGACCTATTGTATTGATAAATTTCTCATTTTTTGACTGGGAATATCAGTAAATTCCCGGAAAAGAGTCAACAAGTAATGAAACTAGCATCATATTTCCAATGTAATGTCGGTCATCCAAAACACGCAAGAGTATATTAATTACCATGGACAGAGTTAATAATTAATAATTAATAATTAATTCCTCAACCCTAAGTAAGACAGGGTTGAGGAATTAATTATGTCCATGGTAATTATACTCTTGCGTGTTTTGGATGACCGACATTACATTGGAAATATGATCCTAGTTTCATTACTTGTTTACTCTTCTCCGGGAATTTACTGATATTCTTAGTCAAAAAATGAGAAATTTCTCAATACAATAGGTCGTACAAATTGCAATTGAAACACTGGGAATCATACTGTATTTTTATTTTCTTTATACCTGGTCTTAATGTTGTCATGTGATCAGGATCTTTTGAAAAAAATCAAACTTCATCATAACACTAACACAGGCGTTCTCTTTACGGACTTGTCTCTAAACTAATGGCCGGGGTCCATGTAAACCCGGATTTGTGACTTTATCAACATATTTACCGGGAAACGAGACATATAATGAGTGGTGATGTTGTATTGCGCAAGGAAATATTCATTGTCGGATCGACTAATACAATTGGATCCTTTTCAGTCTGCCGGGGTTTAAATTTGAGCATTGAGGTGGTGCACTTGGAAACCAACCATGCTCTAGAAAAATGAGGTTCAAACAATTTTGGAGTCGCTATTGAATGGTTACGAGATGAATGTGAAAACAAGATCTATGTCATGTTATGTGAGTAACTCTTGAGATGGCGGAGTCTGGTGTACTAAGAAGAGTTTGTAGTCTCACCTGTCTTGTGAATCAATTTGCGGCATGTGTTGTTTTCCTGGGAGCACGTTAGACAGACAAGGATATGGTTGTTGCTCAAAAACAAATTTCAATTCTAATGTGAAATATACTTTAGAATAACAAAATTATACAAAAATGAAATGTTTGTCTTCATGAAGTTTTCTTTTGTTTCCTCCATTTTTTAAAATGTTGAAATTCTGAACGAAAAGCGTACCTAGCACGGACTTTATTTACTGACCGCGTATTGAGTTGTCTAAATAGATTAATCATTTAACATTGAAAGGATTTCAAACGTCCAGGTACGCCTATTTGTTTCGTAATAATGTCGATGGGCGTGGTGGGTGGTAGATCGTATGCATACTTTCTCGTAGAATCCTATTAGATATTACCGTAGATCTTGTAGATCTAAAAACAGTTTAACCTACCTAGACCTGTATCAACACTTTCTGAATCATTTGTGACACTTATAACAAATTTTTCCTCAGTCAGTGTGGGTAAGTTAACGCATGTTATTTGAGTAAAACTGTCAGAAAGAAAACAAAACAGAAGATAAAATCTTGACGAGATTGCTGTGCAAAAGTTCCGTCCTAGTTAAGAACATTCAACTTTATACAATACACTGGTGACTGATTTTGACATGTGGTATAAGCATGCACGCATGCTGCAAGATCATTCCACAGAAATACGAAACGCAGAAGTAAATATCCAGGCATGACAATCAAGTTACTAAATGTACACTGACCAGATTTAAGTTTCTAACAGAAGTAAGATACTAAAATCATGGATAGTTATATCTTAAACAAATTTGACTTTATTTAAAACATCGGAGTATTATTATTTGAACGAAACTGGTATTGTTGCTGGAAATTTTACGTTTGGTAGAGGTACCTTCTATTTATTATAAGCCAACTTGGCTTCAAAATACATGGTACAAGATGTCACAGAATCACTCTGAGTCGAAAAAAAATCAGAGAGCGGAAAGGGTTTAAGATATTATAGTTCACAAGGGACTTTAATAGTTCAAGAAATTTTGACCGTAACACTTTAGATTTTTTTTTTATTTGCACTGAATATGTTTGTTTCTCCTGCCATTCGATGCTATGATAATCAAGTGGCGACGACTCCTTCACAACGGAGCCTGAGAATAATCGGTGTTAGCGTGGTAACGACCAAGCACCTTTGCTTAAAATATAATGCAAACTAACTTCAATAGACAACATAACTCAGAAATAAAGTTATAAACGTACCAGTTTATTCAAAACAAGTAAAATCCATGAAGTCAAATAATATTTCCAATCTTGCTCACTAGATGTTACTCAATTGATATACGATTTGCAATCAATCACTCCAGAGATCAACTCGGATCTTATATCTCTAGGAGTCACAAACTGAAATTACTCAAAAGGTCAACTCAGATCTTATATCTCTATCGGAATCTCAAACTGAAATTACTCAAAAGTTCATCTTAGATCTTACATCTCTGGGAATTCAAACTTAAATCACTCAAAAGGTCATCTCAGATCCTATATCTCTGGGAATCCCAAACTGAAATTACTCAAAAGATCATCTCAGATCTTATATCTATATGGGAATCTGAAACTGAAATTACTCAAAAGGTCAAATCAGATATAATATCTCTGGAAATCTCAAACTTTAATAACTCAAAAGATCAACTTGTATCTTATATCTCTAGGGAAATCTCAAATTTTAATCACTCAAAAGCTCAACTTGGATCTTATATCTCTGGGAATCTCAAACTTAAATCACTCAAAAGGTCAACTTGGATCTTATATTTCTATCGGAATGTTAGACTGAAATTATACATCTATTAGATTCTCAACTTAAATCACTCAAAAGGTCAAGTCACATATAATATAATACCTCTATGGGAATCTCAAACTGAAATTACTCAAAAGATCATCTCAGATCTTATATCTCTATGGGAATCTCAAACTTAAATAATTCAAAAGGTCAACTCGGATCTTACCTCTCTATGGGAATCTCAAAATGAAATTACTCAAAAGATTAACTTGGATCTTATATCTATATGAGAATCTCAAACTTAAATCACTCAAAAAGTCAACTCGGATCTTACATCTCTATGGGAATATCGAACTGAAATTATTCAAAAGATCAACTTGGATCTCATATCTCTATGGGAATCTAAAACTTAAATCACTCAAAAGTAAACTTGGATCTTATATCTCTATGGGAATCTCAAACTTAAATCACTCAAAAGGTCCACTCAGATCTTTTTTCTCTGGGAATCTCAAACTGAAATTACTCAAATGGTCAATTCAGATGTTATAATTCTTGGAATTTCAAACTTAAATCACTCAAAAAGTCAACTCAGATCTTACATCTCTATCGGAATCTCAAACTGAAATTACTCAAAAGTTCATCTTAGATC